ACTGGTGGCCCCTTGGCTACTTGCCCCCACCCAAAGACCTTCTCTGGTGGCACCTCAAGCCCTCAGCTACTTGTCCCCACCTCGTGCCCTTGGCTACTTCTCCCCAGCTTGTCCCCTTGGCTACTGGTCCCCACCCCAGGACCTTCTGCTGGTGCCCTTGGCTACTGGTCCTCAGCCCAAGACCTCTGGTGGCACCTTGTCTCCTCAGCTACATGTCCCCACCCTGGGACCTTCTCTGGTGGCACCTCACGCCCTTGGCTACTTGTCCCCAACCTTGTCCCCTTGGCCACTTCTCCCCTTGGCTATTGGTCCCCACCCTGGGACCTTCTTTGGTGGCCCCTCATGCCCTTGGCTACTTGTCCCCCGCCCTGGTTGCCCCCCTGGTCACAGCCAGGAGACCCCTGGAGAGACCCCCAAGTGCCACCCCAGAGCAGGGGGGGTCCCAGGGGTGGGCAGGAGGCTGGTGGGGGGTGGGAGATGGGTGTTTGGGTGCCCCCCCCACCCCATGGCACCCCCAAAGGGGGGTCTGACCCTGTCCCCCCCCCAGGTACCCCCTGGCCGTGACGCGGCGACACGAGGAGGAACCCACCAGCAGCAGCATCTACGCCCAGAACAACCCCTGGGAGCCCCTGGTGGACTTCGAGGGCTTCCTCCGCGACAACGAGACCCTGGAGGACCAGGTGGCCACCGCGGGGGGGGCGCTGGTAGCCCAGGGGACCCGGCCCAGGGAGGGAGGGGGTGGCGGGACCCCCCCCTCAGTGCTCCACCATGGGGAGAGGGGCTGGTGGTGGGGTTCTGCGTTCTGCCACTGGTGGCCACCATGCCCCCAGCTGATGGCCACCATCCCCTCCTGCTGATGGCCACCGTCCCCCACCACTGATGGCCATCATCTCCTCAGCTGGTGGCCACTGTCCTCTCTCCCACTGGTAGCCACTGTCCCCCCCGCTGGTGGCCACCATCCCCCTCCCTGCTGGTGGTCACCATCCTCTCCTCTGATGGCCACTGTTCCCACCCACTGGTGGCCACCACTCCCTCCAGCTCATGGTCACCATCCCCCCCTGCTGCTGGTGGCCACCATCCCCCTCCCCATTGATGGCCACCATCCCTCCCCCTGCTGATGGCCACCATCCCCCACCACTGATGGCCACTATCCTGCCCCTGCTGGTGGCCACTGTCCCCCTCCCTACTGATGGCCACTGTCCCTCACTTCTTAAGGCCACTGTTCCCACCTGCTGGTGGCCACCATCCCCTCCTACTGATGGCCACCATCCCCCTTGTTGCTGGTGGCCACTACCCCTCCCCCACTGATGGCCACCATCCCGGCAGGACCTGGTGGCCTGGGTGACCGTGGGCTTCCTGCACGTGCCGCACGCCGAGGACATCCCCAACACGGCCACCCCCGGCAACGCGGTGGGCTTCTTCCTGCGCCCCTTCAACTTCTTCGACGAGGACCCCTCGGTGGCCGCCCGGGACCCCGTCATCGTCCGCCCCCCG